TTTTTCAAAAATGTTGTGGACCAAACATTTAATCGAGAACATCATCAATTCAGGCATTAGTCAAAGATTACAAATTGTCAGTAGATGCAGCCCTCGAGATTAGTGCAGTCAAAAATATTGTCCACTGATAAACAGCTGAGGCAAGAATTTAAAACAGGACGTTTCTTAAACTAGTATAAAAGATCAAAAGTTGCACTAACACCTAAAACTATATAAAAAAATGTATAGTTTAGCAAGCAGAAATACCAAATATGTTGCTTTAACTTCTTATGGAGGTCTTACAGGGTTTATATAACACTGTATTATGAACAGGATTTTGAACTGCCATTTGAAATATATCGCCTTGACCTTTAGGAACTTGTGATAGACGTTTTTTCATTGTTTTGACCTATTTTAGATTATCAGGCTTAAAACAAAAGTTTATTTCTGTATTTCTGCAAGGCTGAAGCAAAAATAAATACACACACGAGACAAGAGAAAGACAAAGGGGATGTATAGGTTGCACAATAAGGTAAAGAAACAACAGGTTTCCTCGAGGTAAAGGCATAAGTCTGTCACTTACACACATGCACACACCAAAATATCAAAGAGCCCTAATTAAGCTGCTCTGCATTCAAACGTATTATCCTCCATATCATTAACATTCCCCATCACAAGCTCTGGTACTTTATCTAAGAGAGAGCAGGCAATCATGAAATATTCATGATTTATTAATCTGACTACAGAAAAACAAACAATGGCAACCCGGGGAGTGTGACAGCCTCCTCTGCCAAACAACGAGGCAGCAACATGAATGTTTGCTCCTCGCTCGGCACTCTACAAATCTCCAACAGGAGTCCACTATCAGGCGCCGCCTCCGCCGCACTGACATTCAGGTGCATGCTGGTATTCCCACTCATAAAAGTGTTTTACTGCGATATGGTGGAGAGGAAGGGGTTGGTGGTTCTCTTCACTTGGCGCGGATCAGCTACTGCCTCTCATTCTGTGGCATTGTGTCAACAAAATGTCAACCGCAGCGTCGTCATAAAAAGAAAAGAAAAGGGAAAAGGAAACGTGGCGGGGAGCCATCTCAAGACAAATCACATCAGTGTTTCGATGGCGTTCTTACAGAGAGGGGAAAGGAGGGAGAGAAATCGAAAAGAAACCAATGCAGAGGGTAGGAAGGAAAGGGGGGGGGGGGGAATTGAGGATGGGAGGCAGGCCTTCTTCCTCTTTCCTCCCTCTCAGCCACTCACGCTTTTGAGGATTTTCTCAAGTGGGAACATTTCTGCTGATGACACGGTTGTGAAATGAAAATGCCACAGCGCTTGGTTGATGTTACTGTCATTGACTCCTAATGGGAAAAATCCCACTCCACACGCAATTTTCTGGACTCTCCATTTCCTTCATCCCAACTCACGCAGACATATACCGCACACCATTATCACTCAATATCACACCCACTTGCTCTCCCGCTTTGTTTCCCCCCCCTTCCACACACTCCCAGGCAACACAGACACATCTTATGCATCTACTCTTGACTTTCTCATTCTCTAAATCTCTTTCTACTTCTCTTCATTGCCCTTCCACTCTCTCTCTCTCTCTCTCTATTTTCAAGTCCCTCGGGTGACCTTGAGCAGCAGCTGCCAGTGAAGTAGCTAAAGTACAAAGTCAATACGAGCCAACAAAGCTGGTTAAGTATTAAATGGGGGATGATGACGTTGCTGTTATCCAGCAAAAGGCTTAACAAAGAGCAAATAAAAGGAATGTGCCGTCAGACTTTAATGGAACGCTCAATAGTAATAATGATGCGATTCAAGCTATTGATGCACTTTGGATTTGTTCAGGATAAGCTGCTTGCTGGTGTAAAAGAAAGCGCTGTCGTGCTGGGATAAATGCTGGGCTACACATGTGATGTATGTATGCCTTCACATGTGGAATGGCAGATGAATAAAACAAGTTGAACAATCCATGCCTGAAGTGATTCATTCTTATTACAGGAAGTCGAACAAATGTAACTTCCAATTTAAAATGAAAAGAGAACTTTATTTCCCCCAACTGAAATCATAAAGTTGGAAATAAAAATGTACCTAGTAAGACGTCTGGCAGGAAGGGAGGTTTAGTCACCACAAGGCATGGCATTACAGCAACATCTTGCAAACGTGACATTTTTCAATTGTCGGGCCTGTAATAGCCTTTCACTGTCCTCTCCCAGGATCATTGTCGGCAGTGCTGAAAACTCAGTGGATAATGTAGCACTGAATGGGCTCTTTCATCAGCGCTTGGCCATGGAAGTGGACCAGAGTGACTCCAATTGAAAGCTATTGCAGCTAAGAAAATCAATTGAATAAATGTGGGGAGCGTGGTGCATTGTGTGTGTGGCATTGTGTGTGTGTGTCTGTGTGTGCTAATATGGTGTGTGCATGGGTGGGAGCCGGTTTTGAGTACCTATCGGCTCCCAGTCTGCCCTCCTGCTGCTGCATTCCTCTGAAGAGTAGCATTCCTCTGTAAGGCAACGAGGTCAAAGGTCAGGCGGCCAGGAGGCAAAGGTGAGCCTGGATGTAGCATAGCTCTGCAACAACAGCCTTGGCATGGTGTAGGAGTGTGTTTATGAGTGTGTTTTGGGTTGGTGGGTTGGTTCATATTGATTATAAACAACCGAGTAGATAAGACCAGGGGTTACCACATCACTTCTTCTGCGTTTTAAAAGTTATGCATCAGGCTACATTTAAAAAGCATCCAGGTATGTACATTAACTGTACAGCTAGCCGGCCTGCCTTGGCAGTGCTCCCTCCTCAGTCGATAACAGCTGCTCTGACATGTGTGTGCATTCCTGAGTCTGCAGCACAGCGTCCCCGCAAGGCACCGCCTGTCCGCCCCCGGAAATTGAGCGCTAAGCCCGGCCGGCTACATGTAGATCCATTTACCTGAGAGAGCTACGTCAGGGTTTTTAGCCGAGCACGGGCTGGCACCCAAAGGAGTTTAAATCAGATTAAAATGAAAGGCATCAGTTTGATTAAATCTAAACAGGCTTGTAAACCATAACAGGAAAAAAATGCTTTAAATGTATTGGTTCGTAGCCCGATGCCAGAGTAGTGAGCAATCTAAAGAGTTTAAACTAAATATATTATTTTTAAAGCACAAAAAGGGTGACGGTGGTTCACAAATAAGTGCGGAAAGATACACAAGTAAAGCCAATGCATGCTAAATACTGTAAAAGTGTTGTGTACAAACGAAATTGGATTCATCAACTTTCAGCGGCGACACAAATCAAATGCAATATCGATGCTGGAAATGAAATGACTAACAGGCAGCGGTATTGATCAAATAAATCAACCGTGAAACACACTGCAGTGGAAAGAGTGAGCAGGGAAAGCTCTCGGTTCCCAGAACTCAATGAGATCAGCTGTGTCAATCAGCTGATTATGGCCCCCAGATGTGCCCGAGACAGAGGGACCTCTGGGAAAACAAGGCCCCGATCCGCAGGGAAGCAGAGCTCTGAGCGGAGCGGGGCAGAGGTGGGCTGTCCAAGGACGACTGGAATGTCAGATAATGGATGACACATCTCTCCAGGTGACATCGAGCCCAAGGCATCCAAGGAGAAAGCGATGGAGAGAATGAGTATGTGAGAGGGGGAAAAGGATGACAAATGGATAGACAAGTGCATGCTTGTAAAGTTTTGTCAGAGCTCCCTCTTTGGCATTATGAGTTTGTCTGTGAAGGGGTTTTAGAGTTCATTTCAAGTTCAAGGAGAGTCACATCCTTCCTTAGCCCAACAAAAATGTGGTTCAAAATCTTTCTTATCTTCCCTCGCAGCTCCTTTTTCTAACTGATTGAATGGAAATATGTGTAGGTTCACTTTCCATATGCTCCCCATCCGTGCTTTCTCTTGACCTTGACATGCCGTGTGTATAGGTACACACACACACCCACAAGGAACAATGTCGACAAGTGCTGTTATCACATGCCTGAGTTGATCCAGGCTTAACAAAAGCCATGGGATCCACAGGTTGATAAATGCAGATCAAACCACTGTCACTCACAGAGAAGTGAACCTGACAGTGAAGCTCACTAGTAATCCAGCTATGTAAACATCAGAAGACACCGCTTTCTATATTAAAAACATACCACGCATTCAAGTGCAGCTGTTGATCCTAGGGGGGAATAATTTATTACCACCTTGACAAAACAGAGACCTCCGAAATTAGAGGTAATCAACTGTCCCTGGGGGCTAAGTGGAAAGGATGGCACTAACTCCTGGAAATGAAAGTGATAATTAACCCATTACGACTGATTTATTCGCAATAAATTGCTTCATATTTCAACCAAACTTGTTACACGCCACGGCGAACATAAACACGCGCCCTGAAATGGGAAGCAGCGTTTTTTCATGACAAGGTCCCCAGAACGGATACTCATTTCTGAGCAAAAAAAGCTCTCACCGTTGACTTTCACTTAATTTGCACTAAGTACAGGGTGCAAATCAAACATGTCCCTGCATATCCTGGTGAAGGCTGCACTGTTCCCATGGAGGGGAGCTGGAAGGTGGTGGAGGAGGAGGAGGGTGAATTCCTTCATAGGAAAGGAGGGAGGGATGGGAGGGTGGGGGGTGTCCGGGGAGCTAATAGACTGGCTGGAGAGCTTTTACTTCATGCTTGAAAGGGAGCACAGGAGGGTAAAAACCAGTCATGTAGTGGTACATAAAAAGGTTGGTTAACTATGACCTGCAGTTGGAGATCTTTATAAGGCTCGCCATCATTGATAGTTAACCTGTTGTTGGTGGGAAATAAAAGTCTACATTTCAATAAGGGGTTGTGGTTACATATTTTCAGTTAGAAAGGAGAGAATTTAAGGAGAATTGCTTCATACAAATTCATCTAAATGCACACACTGTGAACCAAAGAGCGAGAACCCAGGGGGATGTGAGTGACAGCTCAAAGCAGCCATTATACATAAAAGTTTAAAAACATGAAAAATAAACTTTTTTTCCCCATAAAACCATCTCACTTTGTGTAACTTACTTGTCATACTCTGCGTTGTCCATGTCACACCGCGCGTCCTTGTGTTTCTGCCAGTCTTTGCCATGTTTGCAGGTGGTGAGCAGCACCACATCCTCTGCGTTGTGGACGTGATGTAAGGCATTCCTGGTGTCCGAACCGATACCTGTCAGGTAACGCTTCCCTTTGAACACCAGCATGTATTTTCTAAAAGGCGGGATTGTGTTGTACTTGAGGAAGCCCCTCTCTCCGCCGGTCCTCAGGTGCTCCTTGGAGAAGAGGGGGATGGACACGTCGAAGTGGGGCCTGAAGTTCTCGGTGCTGATGCTGGCCTTGGCCAACATGGCCTGGCCGATGTCAAAGCCCAAGTCTTCCGTATAGTCCGGCCACGTCCCCGAGTACAAGTTAAATATGAGGTGGTTCCTGCCGTCGTTCCACAGAGGCAGGTTCTGGACCTTGGTCTTCAGGTTGTGGACGTATTGCGGGGACAGCTGGTCCCGGTCCAGAGTGTCCAGACTCAGGATGAACAGACACGCCTGTCCAGGGTCTGAGGTGTAAAACCTGGACCCTTCAATGGTTGATAAAATATTCTGATAACTCTCTGAGATCTTCTCCCCCTTCTGCTGCGGGTAAACATAAACTTTGAATCCGCTCTTCTGACACTGCGAGAAATCAAAGCATGAATCCATGCGGCACCGTTTGCCTTTGTAAACACTCGTGTTGACGTCCCTCTTCTGCCTCGGAGATATGTGCAGGTTATACTCCTCGGTGTCCGTCTGATCCAGCGGCAGGAAAAGGTGTAAAGGGTCCGAGAAGTGGGGCCAGGGCTGATCGGGCCGGTACCCATGTCGGCTGCGGTCATGCCGGCTCCTGCTCGCCGCTGGAAGTGTAACCCCTCCGAGGTAGAAGAGAAGCACCAGACATGCACCAGCGGAGAGCAGGATCAGGTAGCGTTTTTTGGCCTGCATGTGTCCTGGGAACAGGGGCGAGTTGTGAAGGAATAAGAAATGTAAAGTGGCCCGAAGTTAGGCTCTCACCAACCCCGGCTACACCGCTCCATCCTCCGGCAGCCTCCAAGGATCCCCAACCCCCCTTCTGCGTATTCGGTTCCCAAATCCAGCAATTGATCCAGTGCATGTGGGCGATTTTAAAAGTATTGTCCCGTTCTCCCTCTTCTGTAGAGTTTCACCATATCGCACAGCGCCTACAGCGGGGCTGAGCTGCCTGAAACAGCTCCGTGCTGCCTGGACCCTCGGACACAATCACATGCAGCCACTCTCTTCCGCGGCGCTTCCTCTCACCCTCATTCAGGCTGGCTGTGTGGGGCTTTTCAAAGGGAAAAGCAGTCCGGCAGCCGCCTGGGAACTCTCTTTCCCCGGGTGTAAAGCGGCAGGGGTCCCCGAGGCTCTCCCAGACGGAAAGGTATACCCCGGTTTAGATCGAGTGTAAAAACGAGTCGGTGTGGCCGCTGTGCTTGAATCCAAATGCCTCCGGGTGAATTCGTCCTATTCCCCCTGTTTTACCACTCCATAGTCCCGTGTGAAGAGAGGGAAAAAAAACCGGGGGAAGCTTCGTAGCGCAGGAGCAGCTCAGCGGTACAACTGTAACCTGACGAATCCCTGCATTTCCCTTCTTATTTATTACAACCTCCACACACAGCCTCGCTCTCGCTGAATAAAAACCTCACCGGCGGGCAGCGGGCAGCAGGCGAAGTTATCCGGTTGACACGAGGGGACAAAACGCTCACCTCAGACCGGGTAAATAGCTGAGAAAATGTTCAAAAAGACGGGATTCCTTGATCCTAGTGTCCAATTACCGAGTGCTCAGTTGTCCCGATTGTTAGTCGGTAACATTCCAATCCCGACACGACGGCAGCTGACGTGACGTCCCATCGATGCACTCCGGCGCCGCTGATTGGTCCGTCTGTGGGAACGGAAGAGGCGGGATTTAGGGAAATACACCCATTCATAACCGGAGTCCTCCGCATGTGCAAATTATCTAATTGTAAAGCCTATGGAAGTTGTTTGGAAATGTGCCGTGAGAGCAAAAGGCATCCTCAGTTAGTAAAGAGTCCCACTGAGAAGTTATATTATGGTAGTATTCAGTCTCATGTTTACACTCAATCAAGTCAAGAAACGTTTTTGATTTATTATGTCTGCCTATTATTCATGCATGCTTTGTTGCTTTAATTTGTGTATTATATTTGTGTTTTACTTTATAATTGTATTTTAATGGTAATATATATATTTTTTTAAAAGAACTATGCTCTATAAATTGTCTTGACTTTAAGTATAAAAAGACACCGTTTTTCCACTATCCTTTTAACCTTAATGTGTCCAATGTTGATATAATAGCAATAAATATTAAAGCATTAAAGCAAACACATTACATAAATGTATTTAAGGCAAAGCATATGCTGGCTGATTTAATATTCAGCCCCAACTGCGGGTTGCATATGTACCCCAGGTTTTTAGATTTACATTTTTGTATTTATTAATAACCGCAAAAGGCATAGTAAGGCATATTTTGAATTGAACATTATTATATAAAACTCACATGTGGAAATCATGTTCCGTTCCATTTTCTTTCTTGCTTTCAATCAACTCACTAAGGGCACAGTTTGAGTCAATTTCCTTTCATATTAAGCTCCCCGGTAGAATATCATCAGTACTTATTGATCTGTTTTTCTTAAAGCTTATTATCTCATACAGTGAAACATCTTGCCAACAATGCCAACAGACAGTTTTTTGACAGAAATCCAAAACAACTAATCCACAATCCTGACAGTGAAAAGAAAACCAAACGCCACGTAAGAAATATAAGCCCTGTGCAATTTTAACAAGTTGTAACACTGGTATCGCCTAGAGGACTCAGCATCTGTTCAAAAGAATGATCTCATAGTTAATTTGTACCATAAACGTACACAGTAAAATAGTTAAGACATGAAGGCATTTCATGAAAACAACTTGTTGGAAGTCCTCCCCATACTAAAGTGTTCTTGTATGCACAAACAAAAAGTGACACAGCATAGACGACCCCCTTGACAAGGAAATTAATAGCAGTGGAGCGGCTCTCACTAAGTGTCATCATGCCTCATAAGCCCGCATAATCCTCCCTGCTGCCATTTGGTGGCAAAACACTCCGGCTGGGTGAAGAGGCCATCCTCATTTTTTATCGGCCAATTAGCTCAGAAGAGGGGGACTAATTAGCGGGGCTGGCTTGGAGACAGGCCAGGATCCTGTGGTTGGCCGGCGCTCATCGTCGGAATATGCTGGTGATGAAGAGGCCTGGGTGCTGTTCCAGAGGGCTGCTCCTGTCTCCGTGGTTGTCCAATGTCAAGAAATCCATATAAAAAAGTTGTTGTTCAAAAAGTGAACATATTTCTTGTTTTTCAGCCCATAATAAGCTCTATACCCTTATATTTTCTCCTTTTCACACAAGACTCTTAGCTCTGCACTCTAGCAATGCCACACATTTTACCACCACAGTCTCTCTTTGGAGAATCAAGTTGTTGTTTATGCCTGGGGGATTTGCTTCTTAATTGCTTACAACTCTAATGGGAATACTGCGGTTGCTAAATGACACTTGAAACCAGGATTGTGTTAACAGGAGAAGATGTTGTAATCTAAATAGAGTTGTTCTTTCCTAAAATTGCGTGTCTCTTGTTAATGTAGTGCGGGTTGTTCACATCATTAAGTCTTTGTGTGAGTGCAGGTGAAACACTGTGGAGCCGGAGGAGAGACTGCAGTGTTAAGTGCTGCACCATCAAAGGCCCCCCTGTTCATCCCCTGTGTATCCCCACTGCTTTGGAACATTTTGGAGCTGTGTGGTCTCTGCATGACAGCGGTAAGGATTGGGAGTCGTTCCAGGGAGCTTCGCCTCACTCCCTGCCTTCATCCTTCCTTGTGTACACTTCTAATATTTCCACCCCCTGAAAAATCCCCTCTTCAATCACAGTTTGGATGCCCTCCTTCTCAGGACTGTAGCCGGTCTGAGATATGAGAAGATGAGAAAGCCTTGCTAGCTGTGAAATAAATAAAAAGCTGGATTTGGAAGAATCTGATTTTTTTTATCGGATGACACACAGGGTTCGAATTCGACAAAGTGACAAAATACTACACAAAGGGAAAAAAGTTAATGCTCTGCGATCAAAGGGATCATTAGTTTTCTTTGATATGAAGTTCAAAGTAGTTAAACAAATATTTACCAGTGCCAATGTGGAAGGTAAACGTTCAAATAAATCTAGTAAGATGACTTAAACTCATATCTTACTTTTGTATTGCCCCAGTTTTTACCTCTCATGTATTGCCATTACATTTGAGCCGCAAAGCTATCCATTACCTTTGCAGAAAAACACATTCTTAGTGACCTTTGAAAAGCCCAGAAGGTCGTCCCATAACACTCACTACTGTTTGAAGGTATGTCCATTTTCATGAAGAGTTTTAAAACCATCTGGATAAAAGAGCATAATGTCTGTTGTGCAATAACAACAAATTCAGCTTTTTCCCTAAGTTGCTCCTTTTTTTCCTCTCCCAAACTTTTCACAGGATGACCCCAAGCTAAACTTTCACAAAATGAATAAAAATAAGAAGTTATTTCTCTCCTTGTTTCATACAAAATAGTGTGCTTATATATTGCTTGTGTCTTTTCCAGATGGTTAGAGGATTCTTTGAGGTTTCTGGATATTACTTTATTAAAGTTTATTTTATGATTTGGAGAATTGGATGCTTTGCTTTGCTCTGCAACTCAAATGTAATGGTGATGAATGAGTGGCTCAGACTCTGTGGCTAATACAGTTAAGCTTTTGTGTTACTTGTTTTTGCTTAACTTGGTTTTTATGAAATTATTTTTTATCACATCTCGATTATTATTATTTTAGTTTATAAAGTAAAAGTAAAAAAAATTCAAATGTAGATATCAAAGGAACACAATTCTTTATATTTGGTTAATGGATACATGGACTTACAGTAGGTGACTTCTTCACTCTATGCTGACCTGCACTCTCATTTTGCATTCAAATCAAAAATAATAAAATGATAACTATAGAGCCAAAAAATTCAGTAATCTAAATAGTTTTATATGTCCTTAAATACCTGGATTACCTGTTGACTTCCTATTTTCCTCCTGTTGACGCATGTGAAGCATTTCCCCTTAGCAACGGCCGGCAGCCATGATAAAGACTTGCAAATTCAGGCCACGGTAAACAAATACCCATGGCTGGAAAGTAATCTGTGGGTTCAGGGAGTTTCAGGCAAGAGGAAGACAAAACAGCCTTTGAGAGTCTTCAGGCTGCTGCTGATCAGTCGCTGATAAACTCCCCTCTGGATGATGTAACAAGCTGGGCTCCTGCGAACACAAAGGGCATGTGTGTGCGAGTGTATCAAGGTGTGCACAGGCACTCATGCCCAAATTCTGCTTCTCATGGGTGCTGTGTACGTCTGGCTCCATGCACCTGGCTTGGTTATGCACTTGAGACTGTGGAAGTCGTGTGAATAACCAGTCGCAAATCCGCCAGGGTTTTTTATACTTTTATTGTGATGTTCCTCCTAAAACCTGAGAATAGTACACCATTAGAGTTTAATCTTGGCTTCACGGTCTCACAGGGAGTGTGCTACTCCTTTCTGACAACACGTCGTTTATTTCGGAAGACTCGTAAAGCAACACAAACAAGTAAATTATTCATTTAATTCTTGTCACCTGTTCTTTTATACATACATATGTGTCCCCTCTGTGTAAAGAGATTCTGAATGTTTCAGGAAAAAATATTCTCTCTCTTTTTGTCTATATAAAATATAAAAACCTGTCTGAAAATGAGCTGAACAGATTTTGGCCACTTTATGATGTCCTAACGATTTTTGGCTTGTGTAACCATTAGCCAATCACCAACCAAGGTAACCCCCTTCCACCTTATCACCTGAATCTCCTCCTAGAGCACCATTGTGTTTTTTTAGAGTATAATAGGGAACCTTTAAGAGAATAAAGGTTGATAAAGAATGGAAATATGAACATATTGTAATGAAATGGTGGTCAACACAACGACCAGGCCTCTAGGCAATGAATTAATTCCATACAGTTCTCAAAGCTGACAACAACAGTGACAAACAGGGCATAAGTTTAGCTTAAAGAGCAAAGTGATTGATGCAGACGTGGTAAGTGAGTGGGAGACAATCTGGACTTGGATTTTGCGTCCTCCGACTGGCAGCCCTACGGATGGCTTCGGGCTACTGAATGCTAAATGGTGTAGCCTTGGCTATCCTTTGAAAGTGCGGCTCACTCCGTGTGTGGGATGCTTAGTGAACTGCCCATTCTTTATTTATTTAAAGTGACCTTTCGACTCCCGAGCCGAGATTGCTTTGGGCAAACTGCGCTGGGTTTAAATGTTCGGGGTTGTGGGAGGGAGGCCATGGTTTGTTGCCAGGGCCCTGAGCGAACTGAGCTGAAACTCTACAATTTTAACCCCGGAATTGGGAAGTCCCGGCTGGCAGGCAGCAGCAAATGAAGCGTTTCAGGTTAGATGTGGTGATAGGTTTTTGTCCTCATTAAAGCAGAAATCCCTGCCACTGCCTGCTCATTTGTATTCCATCGCAATTCATTCGAGGTGGATTTTGATTTGGGGGGATTTAGATGGTGTAAGGCCACTGAAGCCAGGAGGAAAAAAGAATGCGTTGTAATTTCTTCTTACGCAAAGCCCTGAAAGAGTAACTTTACATGTCCTCACTCACTTTCCAACTTTGTGATTAAAATCCCTGCTGGTATAAAAGGTTGTAGAGCACATCCCATAAAACACCTATTCTTAAACACACTTGTAGCTGAATGTGCCAATCACTTGGGCCACTCTTTAGGGATCTGAAACATAATGAGTGTCATTAA